CACGTGTCACGCGCAAGGGGAAGTGCTGACCTTTGGTACTTATGAATGGACTCTGAACTCAGTGAGTATTCGACAGAAATTACGTCGTGCATCCTGAAGCAGCTGCCCTTCAAAGCACCCTGCTAGAGCGATGGGCAGGAGCTAAGTGGACAGTATTGAACACATTTTGACACGAGGTGGCAAATAGGCCATAGGAATCGCGTGTTGTGAAAGCTTTTCCAAATTTTGTCTCCGTCTCCGACCTTAGCTGATTTCTTTAACCCCTTCATTTTCCACGGTTAACTTGCTCAACAAGAAGTCGTTTTAGAGAAGCGCCATGCTGTCAAATTATGAGCGGTTTCTTTCCCAAAGACGACCTAAACAAGTCGTGATAAATTTCCCTCTGCAAAGAGTTTCGACGGTTCGAAATTTCGTTTCCCAAGTCTATCGTATTTCAAAAGTTTGCTTTGCGCACTTAGGTACACATTATTGCAACGTGTTTACGCACGAACCGTAATCATCCTTCGTCCAACTTTGATACGTCTGTTGTCTTTTTCCGATCGATTAGAGCTACCTTAGGCACAACAGCCAACCATCTTGGAAATGCATGGCGGTATGCATGTGCAAATGAAAACGAATCCTCCGGCCAAGTTGTCAAGTCGTTGGTCAGTGATTAAAAGAAATGGTTGGATCTACTTCAGTACTTCAATAACTTCAGTAACTTATAGAAAGTAACTGAGGTTACAGTATTGTTTCATGATACTATAATTAGGCTTAGAGGGCAGCAACTACAGGCCTTTTTAGTTATTAACTATAGGCCTGACAAGGTTTCCTGCAGGCCTCAGGTGTCCGCGAAGGAGTACTTATGTAGCGGAACGCTTCTTGTTCGCCATGCGTGGGCTATAAATGTGCTGAGTGCATTGTAGATGATCTCCACCGACTATCAATCATGCAAGACATGTGGAATTACGTTGGCGCCAAAAAGACGCCGAAATATCGGTAATTTGAAATAAAAAAGTGAATGATTTATGGGAGCTGATAGCATGACCAAAATGAAGGCACTCACGCGTTTTCTACTTTAATAGGAACCAAAAAGCTGAGGCACATGTATGATACATGCCAGCACTCTGCCAAGAAAAGAAAGGCATTTTGGATATTTAACTGTACGTGTCATATTTGAAGCCGAATATTTCAGAGTCACGGAGCAATTCCCTTACATATCTCTGAATCCTTCTTGTATTCAATACAACTAGGCAACGAATAATGAATAAGGAATAAGCCCGGGGAATATAATCTATACAGAAGACAGTTACAATACAACTAAACGGATATTTAATTAAAAACCACACTACATTACATGCCACCAAAAAGACAAGTTTTGAGTTTAGTTTTAAAAAGACTTTGTGTGTTCACATTTCTAATGTCAGCTGGTAAATTGTTCCACAGCGTAGGAGCGGCCGAAGAGAAAGTATGGCTACCTAGTGTAACCAACATGTTACCATTAGGAGTTTCTAATAAAACTCCACCTGTTGACATGACCTGAGGTTTATATGATGCTGACTTCAGACAGTAATTAACTAGCTTAAATACATGGGAGACGGGCCGTGTGAATATTTAAAAACAATGAGTAAAATGTTAAAATCAATCCTAAAGTTAACAGGAAGCTAGTGTAAACTGCTAGGATAGGAGGTACGTGTACATTGCGCCATCGGAGAGAATTCGTTACCAGCAAAGCTGCAGCTTTGTGAATCCTGTGTAACTTGGATAACTGGCAATTTGGCAACCCATAGGGTAATCCATTACATTAATCAAGACGACTGGTTACAAATGCGTTTAATGTTATGAAGATGATTGAAAACAGCAGAGGAGACTATTGTAATATGAGTTGACATTGACATATTTGAATCAAACCATGAACCGAGATTCCTATAACATCATGTACTGGCACGGTAGTAGATTCACCGACAGCAATGGAAAGAATGTTTTTCTTAGACAATTGTTGTTTCGTCTCAATTAGACAAATAAACTCTGTTTTACTATCATTTAACAAAAGTCTGTTATGAAACATACATGTATACATATATATGTATATTTTATAAAGTGTTAGAAATACTAAGCTCCTGAGGACCCCCCCGGGTGCGCCACTGTCCAAACCCACCAACACCCCCTCCTTTCCTAAAACAAGTTTCGCCGGCCCCCTACTAACTAACGCTGATATAAAATGAATGGTCACTTCACGCACCTTCTTTTCCTCTCGGTTAATAATTCACAGGGGATCGATTCTCACCTTGCCACTTCCCGAATTGAAACGTGATGAGAAATACACCTGAGCTCAGAATGACTTTATCAAGCTCCGTCCATGTGAACTGTAAATGTTAGCAGTCTAACCTCGTAGGATTTTTAACATCACGTATCAATGCACTTCCGGGGATGCCCCAGTGAGTCGTCTCATCGACTTTTACTGAGTATCAGTTTCACGAGGCCAGGACAGAACGGCCAAAATCATCGTAAGAATGTACAATATGCACGTTACTGAAAGCACTGGCATTGACGAGGGTTTTGTTTTTGCATGCATAGTTAATTCCGCGCGCGTAATGCTGACCTTCAGGGTGCTGGGTCTCTCTCTATGCTTGAAGTCATTGTTTTGGTGGAAATGGACTGAGTGCCGGGTAGGAAGAAGGGACAAGGGCATTAGAGAGAGAAGCCAGAGACCATGGAGTATCCTCTTTCATTCCCCAAGGACGTGGGTACGCTATGATCAGAAGTACTCCAAGCAGACGACAATGGCACATTGGAATTTCACGCTGGTCCATCAATACAACTCTCCTTTTTCGTGAGCTCGAAAGATCCAAACACAGCAGATTCCGGTTGATGTTTTCAGATGTATATTTAACTTTGCACAATATCCTAACTTTTACTCCCCAACCCCCCCCCATAAAAGTAGAGGGTGGCAAATTGGTATTATTTTACTCCTAGAAACGATTGTCCAATCTTTCTCATACGTAGGAGGGCTTTCCACTCTACAAGAAACGGGGAAGTGCCGTTTCCAAAGTGTTGGCGCATTCACCTCCCCAAGCAGCATGGCAGGCTGGAGGGACGAAACAACCTCAATTTCCACGCCCCCGCTGGATACGCTCTTGCCCTGTGCGCATAGCATGCGCGCAGTAGTTAAACCCCTCCCCCTACACACCCATACGTAATCCCTAACTACCCTTAGACTTGAAAAGACCTGTGGCGATCATATTGGTTAAATCCAAATGGTGTTGTGAAAGGCGTATTATTTTGATAATTTTTGATGTATAGAAGGTAGTCCGTGGAATAAAAGGGAAAAGAGAACAAAATTAACTCAGTGAAACAAGCACGAGATGATCTGTTTGAGTACCCTCCCCACGCGGTGTAGGCAACGTTAACGACCCCTCCCTGTGCGCGTAAGCCGCTGGATTAGGTTTCGCCAAGGGCGACGTCTTAAAACATGTCTCGCCTCTCGACACCAACTACAAGGCAGAGAGAGAGAGAGAGAAAGAGAGGGCAGAAAAAGGCAGAGTGGATATGTTCGAGGAGGAAAAAGGAGTTCGGAAACAAGTGACAAGTTCATCCGGTGACGAGGCGCCAAAGTGTAAGAGGATATTGCCAAGGTTTACGATGCAGTCTCCATGACAACGGGTGTAGTGACTGCAAGGTCCTTACCCTCTCCTCTAAAAAACCTGCCTCTGCTGGATACTGGGCAAGAAATGCCAGCCTAAGTGGATATTATTTGTGACTACAGTCTATATGGGCTAATTCCGCTGTCAATTTAATCCCTCGCAGAGAATAAGTTTTACAAGTCTAATACAACTTTAGAACGTGCTCGAGCTCATTCGGCTTCTTGCGAGCAGATGAGCTGCTTGTGAGTTACCTGCAGCGCCCTCTACGGTACACATCGTCCGTGACTTTCCATATTTTTGAAAAAGTTTGGTTACTGTCATTATTATGACTTTCAGTATGTTATCAATATGCACCAATGTCTTTTCAAGTTTATGTTCCCAGAGAGAGTTTTGAACATATAAATTTATTGACAGTTTTAAATTAGTGATAATTACTAGCAAAAGAGGAAAAACGGTGGTGTTGTTTTTAGACCATTGTACCAAGTTAAACTGTTTCGCAATTTTTTTCTCACTTGTTTTGACTCGGTTTTTGCCCTAGAATCCCCCCTTTGCGAATAAAAGTGAACACATCTTGATCTGCAATTCTTCCTTCACCCCTATGAGGAGGATGGCATCGACTGGATGCTGAATCGTGTCATGCTCTGGCCGATGGTGGCGTTCTACGACCTTGGCAGATCGGAAGGGGGGGATATTTCTGGACTTTTTCGTTTTCCTTCCCAAAAGCTCCCAAATTAAGCGTCAACTTCCATAGAGGTCACAGAAAGATAATGTTAAGGTCCTCTAAATAATAACAAAATACCCCCTAACTTGTTTTCGGATCCGCCTGTTTTGACGCACAGACTCTCCCAATAGCCAAAGCAAAAGCGGACATGAAAAAAACAAACTGTTTTTTTTTTTTATCTAGTTGATGAAATATCGACCACCCTCATTTACGAACAATGCAGTGCACCAAACCAGTCGCTGTAAAACGAACTTACGGTCTTCTCGCAATCTCATTTTCAGGGTTTTGACAACATAGGCCGCATCGTTTTCTGCTGAATTGGAACGCCTTATCAACGCTCGCAAGGTCGTTAGTTACACGAGGGATGTTGCCATCATAAGCTACATTCCATCGCAACTGACACCCTCTTTAATTAGAAGCAGTGCCTGTCATGTGATAACAGCATACATCAAGCTTCCTTGGGAGTGAGAATAAGAAAATACCAAGTTTTCAAGAGGGCTCAAGTTAGTATATAGTTTCAAAATGTGTTTCGTTATGATAAGGAGGCATAGGCTCATCTCCTCATGGTTGACTGAATCATTTTTGTTCTTCCTATATTTTCTTTTACCGAATTGATTTTTAAAACTTTGAAGGAATTTGTTTGACTAAACTGAGTGTAACACTAAAAGCCGCTGATCTGTAGTTTATTTGTTCGACCAGGGAGGTGTACAATTCTGTGTTTACTTCCATTGTGACATCACTTATTATTGGACTCTTCCCCCTCACACACTCGTAACCACTACATTTGTATCCTTGTGGGAATTTCCTCTGTTCTTGTGTAGTAAAAAAATTAATGTGTGAAGTGCAATTCTCTAAATGCTTCCATTTGGCCCTGAATCAAAAAAGCTGAAATTTCGACCGAACGTCCCTTAAATATAACAACTCAATTTGCGTTAATTTCACTTTGAAAATTCCTTCGTTTCCAAATTCCAAATATCAGTTTCGTTAAATAAAGGTCTAAGAACCCCACAAGTGCAACAAATGTTCCTTGTGTGGGGTACTTCCCGTTGTTCTGGTACCCCACAAAAGCACTCAAAACACACCCACCCCTGTGATAAAGTGACCAGGAATGTCATCTCTTTATTATACTGTGTAATGGATACAAAGGGCAAGAATCGCTGCGTCTTAGTAACGTGCCAAAATGTGGTGGGAATAGTCGTATGATCTAAATATGCAAAGTTTAACATCTCTTCTTGGAGTATTTTGTCAGACTTGATCAAGGAACATTTTGGTAAGAGCCTACAAATAATTATTGCAATTGTTTAAAGTGGTGGTGTGACAAATAACATTATCATTCCTCAGTACACTATAACCAGCGGCCATAATTACAATAAAGATATGATACAACTCATACACATTCAAAATATAACTTAATATGAGTACGTGTAGAACTCTTAGCATAAATCTTCAAGTACGTAGTGCTTGCCACATTTTCAATGCCTCGGTGATTTACTGGATATTTCTTGACAATAATCACTTTTAAGTGCTTGCTATTTGGAAAGTGCATAATACTGAAACGTGTTGGTTACATGCTCTAAGCGGTCCGTCAGCGTCGCGTCTTTGTCTAGTATGCCCGATTGCTCGACGTTTTAGTTTCGGCTTTCTTTCCCTGCCTGCAAATCGCCTCAACCTTTCTGAAAGTTTAGATGAAACCCAGGTCAAATGGTCACAATTTTGGCCCCAACAGCTGCCGGTTTATAAAGTCTTGGTTAAGCGTAGCAAATCATGGACGCATGCATGACGGTAGATGCGAAATTCCGGAGGAACTGAGGGTGATCCTTTAAGGTTGGGAAGGGCCACAGCAGTTTTGAAGATGTTCAAAACTATCAATGGTGAAGCGACGAAGAAGCGGAGAAATCCTAGTGCAATCGTAATTCAAATTTGAGACGGTTGCTAAGTATAAATGCAGGTGATAAATCTTCATTAATCTAACAACACTCGTAATTGAAACGTGAATAATCGTCTGTAATTGCCGTAGCTTATTTCCGATTCTAGCGGACGAGAACCGTCGACATCGTACTAGATCGTAACATATCACGGCGCAAACGTGATGAATCTGATTGACGTACGTGTCCTTAATATCCGTAGGCTTACCGTTGAATAACTGTCAGTTTCCGTATTAAAGAAGTTGCAAATGACCCCTGCGATTAATCGAGGGTTACTGGGGCCAAAATCGTGACAGTTTTACCTGGGCTTTACTGCTGAAGCCTGTTCTTTCCAGATGCGCAGATCTTCTGTTCACGCAAAGTGTGGCACAAAGGTACCGTCCCCGTAACTCCGTGAAGATACAGTCATACGGAGCAATGGGATGATGGTGGGACGAAAATAAAAGATGCTTAATTCCAGTAGTACTAAAGTTGGTGACGGGGACGATGGTAAAGATGGCCGTTGTAAGGATGACGCCAACGGGTAATAGAAGACGGGAGGCCATAGCCCTGGGAATGGCGTTGAGAGGCTTTCAAGGGCGGATCCACAACCTATTTTTATTGGGGGGGGGGGTGGAAGGATGAGGGATTCCTTCATACCTCCGTGGTCTGTCCAAGATCGAGGTGAGGCTTAACTTCTACACGCATCGGGAAGGAAGGCAAATTAAAGAGTACTAAAAACAGTCGTCCTTCTTCTCAACCCCGAAAGGAGGGGGCAATAACGTCCTTGTTGGACCTACCGATGAAGGCTTTGCCGAGTTGGGGGGCCAGGGTCTGACTGAGGCTCTAGATATACGAGTATTAAGGTTATCGAAATGCACTGGAAAAAGTAATGGATATCGGATACAGAGAAACGGAATAGAAAAAAAGAAAGTTCTTGTCAATTATGTCGCGTATTCTCCAGACCTGTCGATGTCCTTGTCGTCGTCTAAGTCGTCTTTGGAAACCACTCGCCCCCTTACCATGACTTCAGGTAACTAATAGGCTCTTTGTACATGTACAATTTGCCTGTACGCAATGAGTGAGGTGCTCATGAGCCTGTGGAGTTAAGGGTACAGTGAAATCGTTGAGCCAAATATCAGATGACAAACGATTTGTTTTCAAGAAGTTAGTATTGAGGCACCGGGCTGAATTACACTGTGTTCGTGTTACCTCAGCAGTCTACACAAACACCTGACTTTATCTCTTCTTGTCATTAGTATTAATACACATCGAAAGATGAAATCTTTATTTCATGGTATGAGTCATTTGAAAGTTATTTTACTAAAACTCAATCATATTGATTCTCACCGTGTCCAAAAGGACAAATTACCACACGATACCAATACGAGTATGATACTTTATGATTTGTTGATAAAAATGGACAAAATAATTATACAAGAAGTATATCTGACCACTTCAGAGCGTCACGTTCATCCGACCGTCAGGTCACAAATAATTAATGCTTCCAAATTGTCAGCTAAGACAGAAACGTCATGGTGCATCGTCGCTGTTCAGTTCGGTAAATCTCGAAGAATAACTGTGTACACTGAAGTTTTCACGATATTCCTAATAATACGTTTACCAAAAGTAAACTATTTTGAAAGATTGCTCCAATCCAGCCAGATTGCATATTCATGAGTTGATACTAGATCAGCACGGTGCATCAGCATCCCACAATGCAATGCACCATCAAACGTCAGTGCATGGCACACCGTCGTACTCTTCGCGGCGCCACTCTATGCAGTTTTTCTTGTTTGGCGCGTCTAGCCTGGGGTCAAGCACCATCTTTATGCTCTTGGTGAGAGGTGATTTCTCCGTGTAGGCTTTCTCGTCTGAGTCCAGGTCTGTCTCCCGTCTCTCGTCCTCGTGGTGGATCTCGCACTTGATCACCACACGGTGCTTGGCGTCATCGTCCTGCTTGGGGACGTCATCGTCCATCTCCTCCGCACGGACCATGGGTGCCAGCTTGGGGGCGAGCGCCCTCCAGCGGGAGCTGTGCTTTAGAATCGATCGCTTGGGCACTTGGTGGGGCTCCTGAGCCGTCAGACCGTTCACGACCCGCATCTCTATCCCCTCACCACTCTGGGTCTGGCTCTGCGGCTGGGCCTGAGACTGCTGAAAATGGCGGGCCACTACGCCCTTCCACCGCATGTGCAAGGTCGGCGACCGCTTAATCAGGATACCCTTCTTGGTGGGCGACCGGCGGGCCATAGACGGCGACCTGGTCGGTGACCGCGTCGGGCTGGTGTTGGGAGATTTCTTCAGAATACCCGGAGGGTTCTTCTTCTTGATCGGGGAGAGAGATGAAGCGGACTTGGCGGCTCCCGATGGCGGCTGCTTAGCACAGGGCCGCCAATTCTTGAACTCTGGATCGTTTGAGTTCTGTATGAGTTTAAAGAAGAGAGACCTTATCTAAAAAGCTTGAAAAGATCAATGTATGCGTCTTTCGTCACGCAGCCACTGTTTGTAATTTTTAGGTTGCGATGTAAGTAATTCAAGTGACCGATCCTGCTTTTTGAGCAAGGGGATTTTTGGTTTCTGAAACGGTCGTTTTCTGTTTACAAAACTATCGCTGCCACCGAAGGAAGGTGCTAGTAAATCAAAAGTGCGCATTCAATTCTGCTAGAAAGCTCGACATTGTACCCTTTCTAGATGTTTTAATTGAGCGAGTCTAGACAACTCCACAACGTACGTTGCTCACCTTTCCAGGCACGCCAAGGTAGGACGTTTGGCTAGCTGCCGTCTCGCTAGCCAGTGTCTCCGACGACGATCCCGTCTCTATGCGCTGTTCCGATGAGGAGGGCGACGTCGAGTCCTCTCCGTTCGCCTGGTGATCTCTCTTCTTCTCGGCTGCCGCCGCTTCCTTTTCTTTCTTCTTGAGCGACACGACAGGGAGACTAGCTGCATCGTCCTCTTCCGTACCCCCTGACGTCGATGCGTTGGAGCGAATCATCGGCATATCGTACACATCCTGTCCAAAAAAGTAAATTGAGGAAATAGCATAGGAACTAGTCGCGTTTCTTAGTAACATTTTAAATGGAGAACCGATTACAAAACTCACCATCAACGTTTTACGACAGTGAGATACTTCATGCGTGTACGTTCTTGTCTGAGAAGCAAAGTGCTTTTCGCTGCCACGTTTTCTGTAATGAACGAATGAATTGAACAGAACCAAGGTTAAAAAGGCTGAAAGAAAACAAAGGTTGGGACAAACAAAAGCAAAGTTCCCAACCACACAGCCTCTCCGGCTGTATATACTCAGGTGCAGGGAGCTAAAGTCATCACTGACAATAAATTACGAACATTTCACAAGGAGCCCTTTTCACTTGAGGCCAGTGTTGTATTCGAGTCCATCACAAGCCATTTCAAAAGTCCTTTCACAAGGCCAGTCACAAGTAACAGGGTGAACAATGACAAAAGAATGCTTTTGTCACAGTTTCATTGAATAGCTTGTGAAATGGCTTAAGACTAAATGACTTGTGATGGACTTGAGATGGGTTTACAGGGACTTGTAATGGACTCGAATACAACACTGCTGGAGGCTGTTCGAAGATACCAATCCCTTCCTGTATCATCCTTTTCAACATCTCCCCTTCCCTCGGAAGAAATAAACTATCTGAACTCGATATTGTTCGACGAGACAAACATGTTTCTGGACAACGAGCTTTGAAATTTGGCGGTGGTCTTGGGAAACTTGTAAGGAAAACAGGAAAAGGTACCTGAATTATTTAAAGAAAAATCATGCATTATCAAAGGGAAACTACTGCTATCGCACAGCCAAACTCATCAGACCACTCACTTGCTTTGGACCCGTTTTTCGAGGGCGAAACAAGTCAGCCACACGCATAGGAGTAAGGCAACGCTGAGACATACAGCGGTCACCAACATCTCCAACTGTCGGTACTCCTCGTCTGACATTTCTGCAAGAGAGTGGCAGAAAAAAAATGAGGCTGTAACAAAATTGAATATAAAAAATTACTTTGCCAATTCCATTTCCATTATTACTTCTGTCACTAGCTGTACGCATGTCCTGTGACACGCACACCTAAGTACCAACGCTTTCTCCTTCCGACACCTTTTCTCTGCGAACCTCTCCGCTAACTTGTCATGGGCCAGTACTAACCCCATGACAGCTGCATTGCGTCCAAAGTGTAGCTAGGAGGCATTGGTCCACTCGTTTAAAACAATGTGTAATGTATCTTACCCTCAAAAACAAACGTGCAGTTATGATGTCATCATAATTCCTCATGCATGCACTGCTCCTTGTTCAGCCGACAAACTATGCCAGTTTACAGTGTATTATGCGTAGTGAACCAAACCAAACCAACAGAAAAAAATAGGGCTTAGATGGAGATGCCCTGTACGAAGGAACAGTACAAGGTGTTTCTGTTCCAACATTGTATTACACACTGTAGTGTATTTGTTTTTCCCGGCCCCATAACCTAGCAGAGTCTATTCAACATTTTCGAGGAAATAAATCAATTTTTTATCTACTTTACTGCGCATAATGCCTGGACATCCATCCAATGCAAAACCCTATTTAATATACGGATATGACCTTATTTGCGCCATGTTGGTTCCTATTGTGCCTTGCGTGTTGTAAAAATGAAGAAAAGTGCAAAAACTTCACGACGTTGTGGAGTAACACCTTGTAGACGCTTTCACGCTAATTTAGTAAAATTGGACCTACTGTTCATGTTTTATACATTTTATGGACTTTGTGCAGAAAAAATGGTGACCCGTGGAGCGTATTGTGTTTAGAATTTTTTTGTAAGTTAAAAATCAATTTATCTGAGCTAGATTGAGTTGAATTTCAGTACATTTGACCCCTTTCAAACGAGGTGTAAGGGGTTATTATGCCCCCTGTCTGTCTGTGACATGACCAGAAAACTTTTATTCGATTTGGGATGTTGGGAAAATGTGTTTGTTCTTATAGAACTATTTTAACCCTAACCCTCCTCAATCCTCCAACAGGTGAAGGATTGAGGAGGGTTACGGTTTATCATGAAATAGTTCCCGAAGAACCTGTTAACGCCAGGACAAACATAATTTACGAGAACCACAAAATTCTCAGAAGAGATGCTGGTGAAAATTGCAGTGTCATGTTCGTCTGAAACGCACGATGTAACAAATACCACACCAAAACAAGACAAGTCCTGTCAAGTACTACCCAAAAATGTAAAACGCAATTAATGGAAGGTGCACGACAGTAGAAAGCAAATCCATGTATTAACCTTGTACGACAAACCTTTTGTATAATTTCCAGCCGATGTGCTATTGCTGGTGACGAGCCATTTGAGTAGGGCGCCCTCTGTCGTAACCTCCTCTCCCGTCACGTCGTGCACAACCGACGTCGGGGATGTGCTCCCCATGGATACTGCATCTGTAATCAAAAAAATGATGAAACATGCCACTGGAAATGATCTCACATGGGAAATAAAGCAATACACAAATAACACCGCCAGATAGGCACAAAAAAAAACGGCCACCTATTAACAAAGAGACAGAGCTATCTTAAGCTCGCTGGTACCCGGTGGATTCGTATCACCAGAGACAATCTGGCATCCATCTGCCACATCGCTTTGGGACACAAGAGAACATTGAATGTAGAGACACGAAATAAGAGTAGTGTGAACATAGCTTTCTGTTGCATTTAAACACGAAATGTTTTTAGCAGTGCTTCGAGGTAATCCCAAATTTGCCAAACATTTTTTTCTGTTTGTTGCGACTTGATTTACTTTCTCCACTTAATGTAAAAATAATGTATTTGTTAAAATCATGAAAAAACAAAAGAAATAACATTGTATAACTTTACCATTGCAAGTCATAAATACATGCTTATGTGCCCCAATAAGAGCCCTGCTAGTCCCTCCCGTGGGGGAGGGGCTTTTTAAGCCCCATTAACTTACAGCCTCTAGTTCCAGCCATCTTGACAACGGCGCAGGAGGTAGTTTCTGGGTTATCACTGGGACATGAAATCTCTAGGTTTAACACGTAGCCACTCAGCGATTGAAATGCGTCTTGGCTGCCAGTCCACTGTTCAGGTGGATAACACAAAATAAACATTTATCACCGTGGTAATGGCGATAGGGGTACTCCCATTAAAAACAAGATTGAATGGCCACATTGTTTGGACACGTCTACGTTCTGGGCTCAGAATTATAAATGAAACCAAATCAGATTAAAACCAACCAGCCAACCAACCAGCCAACCAACCAACCAGCCAGCCAGCCACCCACCCATCCAAACA